TTTGATTCAAATTAGTTTTTCGACATATACAAAATTTATTTGATACCCATTATTTGGTTCGATATCGGCATTCGAAATATTATATTGTATGCTTTCTGCTATTCTTATTATGTAAAAAGGACTTCTGCCCCTGTAGCATAGCTACGCATGATAGTCGCGACGCGCGCGATAAAATTGAAGTAAGCGCGCGCTATTAGCTGTCTCAAACAGATCTAATTTAGATAGCCAATAGCGCGCCCTTATTTCAGTTTTATCGCGCGTCCCGACTGTAATGTGTGGCCATGCTATGGGGGCTGTATTGAGTAAAATAAGGGTACGAGGGAGAATTACCTTTTGTTTTCGCCAAGGCCATACCTAAAGATGTACAATGTGTCAGAATTACCTGACATTATACCTTACCTAAAATAACATTCACATTTGGAGTTTAAACAAAAATGTATTGTATAGATTGACCAGTGACTCGGTGCCGTATACCTCTACTACTTCCATAAGGTTGAAATTGTCTCTAAAAAAAGGAAAGTGGTATGTCTAAGAAGTACAAGGAAGAATATAATTGATAGGCTTACCATGTTAAGTTTAGGGCCTCGAGTTCGGAATTTTGAACCTAGTGTAATATGACCTTCGGCTTCAAAACTAGTGCCCCTATTACACTTCAATAGTGACTCATCCACCTGAACGAGAAACTTATTGTATCCAAAGTTTATACCTTGTAAACATTACGTATTTTTGAGCTTGTAAGACTGGTTTGATTAGTATTGTAGTACGGTTTGGCTGTGCAATAGAAAGACTAGCACAGTTGGAATGGAAAAGTGTTACAATATTTTAAAAGTAATTGTTTATAGAATTATATATTTAAAAAATCACTCATTTCAAATGTAAATTTTTGTTCATTTGTCTATTTTAACTCCAGATATTATTTTTTCTTATTATCTATATTTTATTAATTCTAAATAGTTCAGTTCTGTTTAGAAGTTGAGAGGTTTCTTTTCATTTCAAGCTTTAATGTGTTACAATAAATCACATTATGTTTCGTATGTATAAAAAATAATTAATGTAGAGCTAAGTTATTAATTTAGTTGTTTTCATACTAACAATATTTTACTTCTGTCTATTAGTAATATTATTGATATTAACGCTACAGGGAACATACTAAAAAATTATTTAAAAAATCCAGTTATGATAATTTTACAATGATTGGCTAGTTCCTAATTTATCACAATACTATAGGTTGTTCTTGGTATCGAATTTGTTTAATGGTTTGGAATGGTGCTTTTCTACCGGCGAAGCGAGATGAGAATTGAAATATCGCCTTACTATTTCCATCAAAATTTGCTATCGCTAACATGCAATTGATATTAATAGCCATCGCGAGCTCTTGAAAACTCGCGCTGTGGTTGTGGCTAGAAAAGTGCTGTTTAGTTTGTACGCGTCTAATATCTCCCGTAAATTATTATTAAATATGTTAATGGTAGAAGAATCACATATATATTTAGATTTAAAAAGTTTTTAACCATTGACTTACAAATAAATGGACGACGGGTCTAATACAAAAACCACGAAAAAAATGTCCCAAGTCAACCTATTCGAAATTTAAATTGTAATGTCATCGCAGTATCGCGCTGTCAGTAGAACAAATGTAGACTAAAGCGGATTGTCGCGCTCTGTATATGATTTTAGCGCCTTACAAGTGCGGACACTTTTTAGCGCGGACCCGACGTCCATATAATTGTAAGTCAATGGTTTTAACCTTTTTAAATCTTAAATCGTACATACGTAGCTCACAATCTCGCTATTAATAGTAATAGCCATCGCGTGCTCGTGCAGACACGCGCGAGGTGTCGCGTAAGGCGTGTTTCCATTGCAGAGTTAACAAGCATTCTATGTAGGCAGCAATACTACAACAACAAATACTTCAATCTCGTCTTGTACATCCTCGTCAATCGAGACTATTCGAGTCCATTTCCACCGAAGATCCGCTCGGAGAGAATTAAAATTTTGCCATGTAAATTAAATCCCCGTCTCGCCTCGCCTCATCGCGTCTCGCTTCGCCGATGCAAAAGCACCTTAAATCCCCGTTTCGCCTCGTCTCATCTCGTCTCGCTTCACCGATGCAAAAGCACCTTAATAGTCGTCTTTTAATATAAAACTTTACCAACTTGTGGTAATTGTATTCTGTATTTTAAACATTTTTCTATGGGATTACTTAAGCGATGATAACCAGTTGTTACAGAAATCTGGTAGAAAGGTTTTCTGTACAATATACAACGTCATAAAAGTGTAAACTGATATAACTTTATATCTTATTACCTGCTTTAATTAAATATCGATGTTAATAAGCTGCTAAATTATACCTTTTGGGAAGCTTCGATAAAATGTAAATATATCCATATTTATTCATTTTGTATTTAATAAAAATTTTAAAAGAATTTCTTTGTTTTAATTTTTCTTACAAAATTATCCGAACTGCTAATAAATACAGGATTTTTTTTTCATTTCTTTTCAATTTTCCGAGCCATAAAACGTTTTGTAAGTTTTTTACAAAGACAGGTTTCTCGTTCCTTTAGTATATCTGAACATTATGGTTATTGGTCATGCGTGTATCTGAACTTAAAACAGCTGGTCAATCAATAGCGATGTGGTACTTAACGTACAATTTCACGATGAAATGTATGAAATGTTTTGAGAACTTGGCGCTTATTTGTAATGTCTGTATGAAGTTATTTTTCACGCAGGAAGTGATCATAGAGAATTTAAATCAGCATAAGGACGTATAAGTAGCGTTCTATTGTTTAAAGCCAAAACTGTGTGTTCACTGATTTAAGTAAACATTTTTGTTTCATTATCTACAATTCTTTCAATATTAGCGTCTTTTTAACATAATATTCTTTTATTATAGTTTTGTGCAAAATAAAATTTATCGATAGTCAATAATTAACTATACTGGGCATCACTATAAACTGTCAGAATTTACGTGTGGTGCAATTGTTGTTGTTGTTTTATTTTGCTTTGTTCTCTCAAAATCGAAGTGAAAATGAAGAATTTTCCTGTTTTCGTGTTTCCAGTGTCACTGGAGTTTTATCTAAATGCTAGACACACGCATAAACAGTTATTGACAGTGTACAATCCTTATGATTTCTCTGTGAATTTCAAAGGTACGAAATAGTTTGTTTTTTGTTCCGTATGGTATTTTTTTTAGTGTTATAAACATTACGTGCAGCATGTTATTTTGTCTACAATCATGCTATTGTGAACTAGTACTTAATTATAGATTGTCTGTTCCATGAAGTGTAGAATCAAAATAAATTGACTCGATTGTAGCGATTGGTATTATTATTGTTGCTAGTCATAATAGACGGGCAAATTTATTTATAATTTAATTATAATTAAGCTTTCGAACACCAGCAAATAAGGTAACAAGTTTTTGCACATTATTAGCAGCTTACAATATGATAAACATAACTAGCACTCATTAAGGTGCTCAAAGGTCATTTTTTTAAATGGAATCGTGTTTTTTTTTTTACAACTTTTATTGTGCTTAATCATGCTATATGTACACGTCTTTATTAAGACGTAGTACAGATAATTAATTAAAATTGTGTTTTAGATAAATCCACCACTGAATTTAAAAGTTTGTTTTGTAGAGCAAGACCTAACAAAAAATTTTGTAATATTTTTATATTTCAGTACTATGTACCTCACCAAACAAATTCACGGTAATAGACCCAGAAGGTGTGATAGCCCCACAGAGCTGCATAGATATTGTGGTCCGTTACTCTCACCCTTCAGCCTCCCACTGCAACACTACAGACAAGTTCAGGATAACCATGTATGACAGAAACACCCAGCAGGTACCAACATAATTCAGTTTGATCTCTGTCTCGTAATATATAACATTTTGCATCTTATGAGCCTATATTCTAATACACTTATGTTACTGTCCTGAGTTGTCTGTGCTACAAGAATATTTCAAATACAGCAAATACTATTACAGTATATCACTGTATTTAAATCATTTTGTGCCCTAGAGTCCAGCATTTAATTTATTTTGATAAAATTTCATTCTTGAAAATTAATTTAAAAAAAAGTGAATTACTGTATCAAAATTGTAAAGACACTGTGTGTCTGTACTACATGCGACTGGTTAAGAAAAACATGAAAAGTTGCCCTACATAAAAAGTGTAGCTTTTATAAGTAACCTACCTAGATTCTAGAAATAGTATGTATAATAAAAAAAATTTTTTATCCAATCATAGATAGGTATTGGTTGTATCCACTGTATTTGTAAACTGCACTAGTTTTTCATGCACTATCAACCTAGTTTGCATATTAGGTACTTGAATTTATTAGGTTATTAGCAGGGACCGGAATAGGTAGAGTTTTTTTGAAGAACATAGACAGAAAATGGAGACTGCCTTATGACAATATTTTTTAGGTCCAGACCTTTTCGGGATTCGGGAAATCACTCAAGAATATTAAAAATTGACATAATTGGGGACAGGCAGGTCCACTATATTTATCTTAACTTTGCTACGCACAGTGGATCGGATCTGCCATATCGCGGACATTGGATCTTTTTTCACGATACCTCGTTAAAAAAAATGCCAATCGAGAGATCTCATTATCCTAATTAAATATTGTCATATCACGTTTTGCCATAAATGTAATAGTTTAGTAGGAAAAAAATAAAATATGTATTTTTTGTTTGGGACCATACCTTTAGTGCCCTATCGTTACAAAGTGTTAGTCGATCTGGATCGACAAGTATCGGCAAGACTAGTCTTGGAATGACTACAGACGTATTATGACGTATATGTATATATATATATCCATAACTACGCACACGCGCGCATACACACATACACAAACACACACATAATACAACACGCACTCATAGTCAAATATCTTTTACGTGCAAAAAAGTTTTTAAATTTAATTTTAATTTAAGTGACCTTTTAGGTGTATATGTATAGTTCAATAATGTCAAATGTATTTTTTCACTATTTAAACAATTAATCTTAGTAATACCTTAAGATTGTCATGTGTCATTTCCAAAGGTGAGAGCCTGGTGACTTGTAGTACAGGCGTTAAGCCTTTAACAAGCACCAGCTCCCAAAAATAAGTTACTGAATTGCATGTATTATTAGACCTATCTTCTGTAGATATGCACACTAAACGCGCGTCCAGACCTACCTATTCACTACTTATACACGTCAGAAAATGGGAATAAATTGCTCATAAATACGATTATTGGTTCAATACATTAATTACTAGTGATCGGAATAGGTAGGCTTTTTTCGAAGAACATACACAGAAAATGGAGACTGCCTTACGAGAATATTTTTTAGGTCCTGGATTTTTTCGAGATTCGGGAAATCACTAGAGTACATTAAAAATTGACGTTATTTGGGATAGGTAGAATAGACTATATCTTAACTTTACGACGAGTTGTGGCAACACCAATTTTTCAGAATATTTAGGAAAATACCTACAAAAAAATTTTCGTTCATTTTTTTCTAAAAGTATATATTTTACAAAAGACAATCTCCCGCCAAACTTCCCACGAAACAGTTACTTAATACATTTAATTAGAGTTAATAAGATTTGTATTACTAACATTCTGTTTTATGGACATTCCTGCACAATCCTAAAACTATCGCAACGACTCTTCGAGTTCTAGGTATACGTTTTAACTTTCTGACTCTATTTTCATGTCACAATCAGAAAACTTCTGCATGCTTAACACATTTTGCCAGCCTTTAAAATAAAAAAGGGTGCGACATATAAACAATAAAGTTAAGATAAAATATAGTGTACCTGCCTGTCCCCAATTACGTCAATTTTTAATGTACTTAAGTGATTTCCCGAATCCGGAACAGGTCCAGGACCTAAAAAATATTGTCGTAAGGCAGTCTCCATTTTCTGTCTATGTTCCTCGAAGTTTAGGTAAAAAAACTCTACCTATTCTGATCCCTGGTTATTAATGTATTGAACCAATAATCGTATTTATGAGCAATTTTTTCCCATTTTCTGACGTGTATAAATAGTGAATAGGTAGGTCTGGTGCGCGTTTAGTGTGCATATCTACAGAAGATAGGTCTAATAATACGTCTGTAGTCATTCCAAGACCTTAGCTATATTGCCACTTAACTGTCCAACTTGTAGCTCTAATGTTATATATGAAATGTGAAATACTATACATTTTTTAAAACTTAAGAACTTGAACTTAGAATTCTCTAACCCGTTAGGGTTCAAAACGTTAGGAATAGATGTGGGTCGATTGCAAATTTGTCGGCGGCGCGGCGGGCAGCGTGGCATTTATTTTTCGTCTGTTTAAAAAAACACCATTGTTTAAATCAACCTATGTCACATCACCTTTTTAAATGTTTTTTACACTTTAACTTGCATTATAGGTACTTTTACTAAAAATAATCATTTTGAGGAATGTTTGTAAAATAATTACAAAATTAAATACTTTTAATTTAAATCTAGTATGCATAGAATGTATGTGGGCAGGAACATACAGGAAAGTTGTTCACTTTAATTGTATGGAAATAATGTGTTAAAAAAAGAAATAAATAATTAACAAAGAAGCTCATACTCCATTACAATAATTAGTAGCAGTAGATTTCCTTGAGAAAGAGTTTGTCAGGGAAGTGTCACCTTTCCTATGTTTGCCGTTAGCGGTAATGTGTGCATTACTGTGTTCCGGTTTTGAAGGGTTGTCAATTGTCAATTCTCGTGTTATATTGAAATAACATTTGTTAAATGCAGTACTTATGTATTGATATTTTTATATATTATACAGCATCGCGGATTGGTATTACAATTATGGGAGTATGATTTTGAAATAGATATTAAATGCTGAACAATTCTGAAATCTCTTCTTGAGGCACTCTTATTCAAACAACCATAAATATAACAATAAACAACTTTTGAATTCTACAATGAATGGCGCTTGTGACAACGCGCTCTATGCAGGCTTATTCCCAATTGTCACCAATGGCTATGTTCCCACAGGCGACAAATGGGAAAAAAATCCCATAGCCGTCGACTCTGAGTCCACTACCAAATCTCCTTATTGGTGGCGGAGCTGTAAGACACGCTCACTTCTCGACGCCGAAAAACGACGTCTCTCCAGTTCCCAATAACCTAAGCGGCTGGAGGGACCGGAGGATATCTAGCTTATCCTCTACTAGCTCTCCGGGCTTGTGCCGCAGAAGTGTCCTGCGACAATGTCCGGACATAGCTTCCAACTTAAAGGGCAACTCACGTGTCCCGCGCGTCTCCTCGCATACAGGCCCTCAACTAGACCGCTACTAAGACGCGCTTGCTGCTCACGAGACAAACGCTCCGGACACATGCATACGGGGCAGACAAACATGGCCGTCTCTGCAGCTAACCACAAACCCCAGCGAGTCCATACCCAAGTTCGGGTCCGCTAGAGACGCCGCATAGGCGTATCACTGGCGGAAGCCTTGGCCCGGACACCCATTGGTCTTGCCGTCGAGCCCGTAGTCTCTCCGGAAAACCCTATCTATCGGGTCAGTAGATAGGGACATGCCACTGGCGACAAATGGAATTTAAGATATCCCAGTAGTTGCCAGTGGTAAAAAAATAAATGGAATAATAAATCTCAATTAATGTTTGTTTATTGCCGCCATAGAAAGAGAATAAAATAAAATTCAAGAGCGAACATGGGTGCACCACGATATTATGCTAATGTGTGCGTCCATACTTGGCGCGTGGCGGGCGCGCACATAAGCTGCGCTACTATGTTTGTATGGGGTTACATTACTTGTCTTATTATAGAAGTTACACTACTTTGCTGCGATCTCTACATACTCTATTGGAGGTACAGGTCGTGAAGTGTAGTATATGTACATACAGAAAAAATCAAAGGTGAAATACGCACATGATGAATATTGTCGGTACAGGTGCAGGTATAATAAATGATACACTGTTTAAATTCCAATACAATAATTACAAAATTCTTTTACTTTTTGTTTTGTAGACCCACGTAATTACTAATAACTCGACCACATCATTGAGAACAAATCGTAGCTGAAATAAATCTATAGGCATAATGTTTTACATTTTCCAGGCTCTGGGTAAAAGAGATATTCCAACAAAACTGTTAGAAGGTGAACCATCAAATGTGAATCCAGACAGCATGGGTGACAGCTTCCATCCATTAACAACCAGAGTGACGCCAGTCAGATCTGTGGAAGACCACACTAGGGCACCTTGTCATCATCCTTCACATAACATCAGGTGAGATAGAAAAACAATTGGTTATTATAATATACATACAGCGTGTCCCAAAATTCAACGATAAGCGGGCGCTGGAGGGTGGACCTGCGCATAACTACTTGAGGAAAATAAGAAAAAAAATTTATATTTTTTTTTTTTAAATTACGATAAAAAAATTATTATTCTTCCAAAATTTACTCCCTTAATGACATTTTAAATCACCACGACCACAATTTTTCAGATATTTCTGATGTTTTTATTTTAACGGCCACCTAAGTAGTACTGCTGTCTACCACAACTCTTAAAATTCCCAGAATGCCTGCAATTTTACAAAAAAATCCATCAAAATATTTTTTTTTCCTTAAAATTTTGAAATATTTTTACCTGCAGTTTCACTCATCGTTTTGTAAAAAAAAAGTACGGACACCACTGCGGCAAGTATTTTTAAAAATTGACGCAACTAACCAAGATTCCAAAATGGTATAATACTTTAAGAGAACTAGGCGCAAAAAAATATTGGTACCATTTCTAAGAAAGGCTAAATTTCTTGATTATTGTTCTTATTCATAATAATCACTTTCACTATGTGCCGAAAAAAGATTATTTGATGCAATTTCTTGGAATTTCAATGGCACATGTGCGTAGTCGATACAATTTAGAAATTAGAGAGAGAAAGATAGCGAGAGATATACGTTAGAAAGAGATAGATGCCTTTTGTTGAATAACAATAAAGCAGGTACTTAAAAAAAATGTTGCAAAAAATATTCGTACCATTTTTAAGAAAGACTAAAATTCTTAATTATTGTTCTTATTTATAGTAATCACTTTTACTATTTGCCGAAAATAGGTTTTTGTTGCTGAAAAATGTTGAATAAATCAAAACAAATGGTATTTCTTCACTTAATTTATTTATTGCAAAATTAACATTATAGTAAATGTTCAAATTGTTTGCCACCAGCATTAATACCCTTGCATTAATGACTTTTTGCCGAAACTCGTCCAATGTTGTGATGGGTTTTGCGTAAATCCTGTCTTTGAGACAACCCAAATAGAAGAAATCCAGGGGGTTTAGGTCGGGTGAACGGGGTGGCCATAAGATAGGACCAAGTCGCCCGATCCAACGCCCAGGATATTCTTGGTTTAAGTATTCTCGCACAGGACGGGCGTAGTGAGCTGGGCAACCATCATTTTGAAACCACATGTTTTGTACATCACTTAAGGGGATGTCTTCTAATAATTCTTGCAAATCATTTTGTAAAAAGTTCAAATAACTATCACCATCTAAGCTTCCTTGTAACTCAAAGGGCCCAATCACTTTTCCATTTAATATGCGTGTCCATAGGTTAACCTTGAATTGATATTGGGATTTGTCTTGTCTCATCAGGTGCGGATTTTCATTGCTCCAACTATGTAAATTGTGAAGATTTAAATAGCCTCTTTCTTGCAGGTTGTTTCGTCCGATCATAGAACTTTGTCTAGGAACTGGGGATCTTCCCGGTGTTTTTGCAGCATCACACGGCAAAATGCGATCCGTAGTGGATAGTCCCGAGGCAATAACGTCTGCACTCGCCTATAGTGATATAGGTGGAGCTTGTGACGTTTCAGAATTCGATGTGCCGTACTTTTTGGGATTCCCGTAGCTGCTTCTATGGCACGTACTGAGGTAGTTGCATCAATGGTTATTTCATTGAGAACTTCTTCATCGCATTCCGATTTCGGTCTTCCAGCGTTTCTTCTGGCAGATGGAAAATGACCCTCCGAAAACGCTCGATGCACATTCAAAAATACTCGATAATCCGGGTATCTTTCAGTGTTTGGGTACCTTTCTCGATACAATCTGCTGGCAGCGTTAGCATTGCACCGACATTCTCCATAAATGAGGTGCATGTTAGCGTATTCCACCGGTGTGTATGGTAGCGGCATGATAAACGATAATCAGTTCAAAATACGCCAAAACTCCAATTCACAGTCCAAAGTGATGCCAGGTCAATTTAGTTTGCAGATCGAGTCCGGATTCGTACCTCGTTGTATTTCGGAATTTATTTACGAGAAAACTATGAGCTTTTCAGTGAAGGAAAACATCGTGATGAAACCTGCGCGTCAAACGAGGTTCGCAACCTTCAGGAAACGTGTGAAGTCCCCATCCCGAGTTGGGCTGGCGTGGCTGACTATGGCCTAAACCTTCGCCTGAGAGGAGACCCGTGTCCAGCAGTGGGACATATAAATGGGTTGACGATGATGATTTTTTTTATATTGATTAGGTATATTGACCCCAATGATTGATTACTTTACTACTATTAACTATAAGGAATGACGTCAACAGCATAATATAAATTAATCTAAACGTGAAGTGATAGTGATATTTGTTTGCATTATACTTAGATAATATATTATTATTACATATATATTTAGCACTTTCACATTAAACTTTAAATAGTTTTACGTTTGAAGATTTTTTGATGATATGTGAACACTGGTACATTGATTAAGTTTAGGGATTCGCTCTGGGCCTTTTGGAGGGAAAAGTGTCGTTTTTATTTTGACTTTCAATTATTTTGTGAAATCTAGTTTAAAGTGGAATAGGATAGTGCCTTAATCGAAGATTAAAACGCGAAATTATACGAATCTCGAACTAAAATACCCGTATCGGCCCGTTCTAAGGAATCCCGAGTCAATCCAAGCACGCCGCCTCAAATTGCCTATCCTCTTTGTGGTGGCCATATTTACATAAATATAATTAAACGTTTATGTTTTCGGCTGAAGGACTTTGTTTCCATGGCCGGCAATAAATTAAAAAAAAAAGGATTAAGTTTAGTGGATTGTTTATTCATAATATTTTGCAAATGGTTTTCTACATTTTACATAAATTATTGTTGTTTTGATATTTTTGTTTCTTGTTTTTTTTTCAGAGACCAGCAGCCAGTAAACGTAGTAGCAGTAGCAGTGAGTATATGTTGCATAGTAGCACTACTCCTACCAACACAACCGGAACAGTTGGCCAAGTCACAGTGGCCCGAATGGCTTCACATCGGCAGCAATTTGAAACTTGTGTTCTCTTTCGTACTTGGACTTGTTAGCATGCTTGTATTAAGACCTTAAGAGTATATTATTAATGACAGTTTTATAACGTATTTCTACTGGTAATAGTGTTGGAATTTGAATGCGAGAATAAATAAAAACAGTGGTGGTGGTAAAATGAGCAATGTACCATAAACTTTAATTTCTACAAGGTTACAGTTCTTTAAACTAGAAAAAGGCGCAGCAAGCGGCACTGACCGGCACAGCAGAGCGCGCAATGAAATGTATACTTTATTCTGTCTTTAATAAGCTCTATGTAGGTATTGCACTTTGTAAAGCGGGCGTTGCGCAGTTCGGCATCAACATTTGTGATCCCACCGAGCCTAATATTACTTAGAAATTTAAATCTTTGTGTACAACCCTATTCCGTTAGGCGCCCGATTCATTTTACTGGTTAATATAATATTATCAAGTTCTTTAAATTTAGACTCAAACTAATTGCACCATATGACTTTTTTCACCCACGCGGATTCTGTTTCGCTTGTGTACCTACTGTATTATTGTGGTTTTAGCGCTGACTGCCCATTTTGCTAAACCCATCGTCGGGATACCTTGCGTTATTGCAGAAGTGTCTATAAAAATGTTGTCTATATACGTGCGGAGTTGACTTTCACCACAATGACGCTTGTAAAGCGAGGTAATGGCATTCAGCCAGCACAGAAAAAGAATATGAGTAAATAAGAACAGGCGGCGAAAATTTAACACAGATCTGACATTGACAAGCGCGCTATGGCGACGAGTGTTGGGCAATTTTCAAATGGGTTAATGTGAATTTAATAACTAGGGCTTCAGTTGAAAACCAGAATTTAGCAGATTGTCTTTAAGTAGGGAGTACAGTAAAAATTGTATGCAAATTTTATTGTTCAATAATTCGTGTTACACTTTTATTTTAACCTGTTTTCGGGATTTGTATGTCCGGTATAATATAATCCTATATCGTGTAACAAGCACATTCTTTAAACAATATCCTTAAGCGTATCGTATAATATTTTTGTTAGACTTATTTAATAGTAAATACATCTATCAAAATCGTTCTTCGCGCTTCTCCGTTAGACACCTTTTCTGACTATTTAATTCATTACAATTGTTAGACTTATTTAATAGTAAATACATCTATCAAAATCGTTCTTCGCGCTTCTCCGATAGACACCATTTCTGACTATTTAATTCATTACAATTACCAGTAGATTACGTATTTTGTTTAACTACTGCCATCTGCCAGCAAGCTAATCGTGTAAGACAACCAAAGACAGCACGGCATTGATTCCGTCATTCTGGCCTAATGTTTACATGACCATTATTTGCTGAAGCTAATAATTTAGTAAGAACTATGTGTCTATACTTTGCCAGAGCCACCAAAATATCTGTCACTTCACGCGGTTAGCCAGCAGCAGTTGACATTGAAAGTTTTCCTGTGCCTCTACGCTGAGTTTACTGTAACGTTATATTTTGTATACAAACTCATAGTATTGATCTCGCGCGCTACCTACCCTTATAAAGAGGATCATTTGAAAATTTATTGCATATTAAGCATATTAAGGTTTAGGTACCTCCTTGTCATCGTACTCATGGCGAAAGTAATCAAAGTGATACTGTGATTGTTGAATATTTGCTTGTTAAAATAAATGAAAATACAATAATTTATTATGTGCCACGTAAAATTGACAAGTTACATTACGTATGTACCTTAATTTAGAAAATGTATTGTATAATATAGGTGAGGCACTTTCTCCTCGATTATAAAGATTATTTCCAACACACGCACCCCTCATGGAAGAACGGCATAAGTGGAGTTACGTCAAAAATTTTAGATACAGAAAAATATATCCCCCATCCTCTCCAATTCTCGTAATTCTATCGAGTAATATTGTAGATAGAGTTACAAGAATTGGAGAGGATGTGGGTTAATTTTTTTGCCATTCTTCCATGAGGGGTGATATAGGTTTATGAACTGTTTTGTAACGAAAAGTTTCGGCCAAAATTGAGTTGGTAATATTAACAAACAAATTTAGCGAATAAACTTACATTCGCGAAGAACAATTTTGCTTCCCCGTTCAAAAGAAGGAAGAACCAAAAATTTTTTGCTATTTTGTTCTAAAATACGGTCGACCCTTTTAGTGACATCTTGTGTAGAGTACATAGAAAGGTACCATTTCCTATTGTAAATAGCGTCCTTGTACCTTTTTTTTTACAAGATTGTATTATTGTATTAAGGCGGAGACTGACCGGGTCATATCAGCATAACGTAATTTGCACGTCAATTTAATGAATTCATCTGGAGTATGTTCCGATGTGAGTCAACGGAATAACAAACTATACTCTAGCCAAATTCGACATAGAATGTTTAATAACAAGCGTTACCAATGGGCTAGGAAAAGAAGATTTTTTTTTGTCAAAGCACATTATATTTTACAAAACAGTCTGAGAGGACAACCCCAAAAATCGTAATGTTTTTGTTTGTTGACGTTTAATCTACTTCGAATTTGGCTGGAGTATAGGTATAGTCGGTACAGCAAGCCGACCCGATCGCTGCGCCCTCCACCAGGTTGTCGGTTTTTTGACGAATGCCTTTGAATGTTACGTTACGCCTCAATTTTAGGCCAGATTTTGGCAGAGATTTGATTCCGTATTATATTTATCAATGGTGAACTACCAATTATGTTTCTACTTTTCAACAAGTTTCAAATCCAAAAAAAAACATTTGTTCTTCATTTGGAGTAAACCATAATTGAGTAAAATCACAGAACCAAGAATTACAACTTCGTCATTCGACATTGCGATTGTATGCGGAGCATGGCCGAGCGTACGGTTCAAAAAGGGCAATGCTACCAGACAGGCGGCCACGTGTTACGATAAAATTTTCGATTAAGATTTACTGTTATATAATATAAAGAATTTTCTCCATCACGTCTAGAATAGATACAAGAAAAAAATCGCAAAAATACACCTTTACAATGAAAAAAGTTATAGTACATATTGCGATTTTTTGTGAAATAACTCTACTAGTTTTGTTATGATTATAAATTTACACTGAAAAAAATTCGTCGACCCGTGGGACTCGAACTCACGTCCATGATGCACCGTAGCATTACTCTAAACATCTTGAAAAGGTTGTAAACCAGTAATGTGCCGTGACTAGGATCACAAATAGGATACTTTGGTCCACAAAAAATTATTTAACAGTTTGAAGGAAAAGAAAGGAAAGAAAGGCTGTAACAAAAAAAGGTATATAAAAAAAGGTACAATTCTATAAAACACTCCCTAACTTAATTACATACGGATATGCTTATGGATGAATATAAAGTAGACACTTACCCCAAAAGGGCCGAGTTATACAGAATTACAGATTGGTATTAACATTAAAATTGGCACATGATTAGGTTGAGAACTGGTAAAAGGATCAAAATTAGACGCAATTGAAAGTTACAGCCGAACTGCTCGCTACCGTGATTGAGCAGCGACTGACGACGGGACGAAACAAAAAGAGAATGGCGAGGCAAAGGAATTAAAGAACGATTCAAAATTTGAAAACAAATGTCCAGGAACCAGAGAAAGGGTAATAAAAAGGTGGGATGACAATGTAAGGAGGTCACAATCAGAGCAACGGGTCCATTTACTGAGTCGTCGAAATTCTCCTATATGTTTTTGTTATAGATCTTTGTACTGACTTTTCGTTACGTTGCGACCTATTACGTTTCCAATAAACCGGATTTTGTTAATTTGCCCCCAATTTTATTAATTTACCCTTAAAATGGAATATTTTTTACAATTGTCGTTGTGAAGCAACAGTCGTATTGGGAACTTCCTCCTTTTTTTGAAATCGGTTAAAAATAGTACTTAATTCTGGTAATTCTTCTGGATATTGCGTAAACATGTCACTTGTCTTTGTGACACCCTGTCCGTTTTTCTCGTATAGGATGGAAAAAGTCTAAGGTTTTCCTAAGCTCTATTGTGAGATTTTTTCTTAATTTTTCAGTTTCGCTTACTAGCCTCATCAGCTAGCAGTAGTCCGCCCGCGTGCTTGTATTCCTCCTTTCCTGATACCTCTTTTCCATACCTTTCAAATCTTGGTGGAATCTTACATCTTACTCTTCGCTAACAACTTCTACATTTTCCAGAAAGTACCTATTCAAAGTACGAATTCAGAAAATGAAGTATAATGCTCAAACTTGAACAGCCAAATTTTTGTAATCATATGCGCCGCTATATCTTTATAATTAGGACTTTTATTGTTTTCTAAGGAAATGTTCACTATTTATTTACTTTATTCACACATTATTCACTTAATTTGTCTGAATTTTTGATCGAATTTTTCATCTTTTATTAATTTTAGATTCTTCTTTATTGAAAGCCTTCACAAGTATAACAAAATATAACAAACTATTTGGAGAGATCAAACAATTTGTCAATTACATTTTTGTTCATGTTATAAAGTGCGCGGAGTACCTATTATTTTTCTAAAATGTTAGTATTTATGGTAAAAACGTTATTCAGGTACCTCTAAATGGTAACTAAATAAAATTACTTAATGTTAACATATGTAACAAATAATGAATCTGGATATAATTAATTTACTATCCTTACAGTCATTAAAAGCATAAATAAATAGTAATGACTTTGTTAATAACTTCTATCCGTTTTCGAATTGAGAACTCCGGGTAGTTTTGAGCAAAATCTACAATGATAAATAAAAAAATATTCTGACGTGATGGATTTACATGGATGGAACATTATCGGAAAGACTACTCAGATCTTAAAGGGAAAAACCGTTACAGTCCCAAGATTATCACATAGTACATATCTGGAATTGTACGGTAATATTATTAGGAAATTAATTATCTTATAACAGTTAAAATTAAAGGCGCTGCCCGCTCGTTAATTCAATCTTACGGCGATTAAGTTATAAAATGACGGGACGTATACCCTACAGAAGGCGTTTATTTGACTACGATCACTGATAAGGGTTGAGGTCAGCTACAGTACAGTTATACTTATCACGTCCATGTGTTATCACATGACATTAACGCTCCTGTTATGTCGTTGTTATCGCAATTGCCATGATACCGTGCGTCAAGAAGATACTCGTAAACGGCGCCGGTCATTGTGTTCCTTTTCTTCGTAATTATTAGACGTCAGAATGTCTACTGCAGGAAAAATAATAAAATGCACGGCTGCTGTCGCTTGGGAGGCTGGTAAACCACTCTGTATCGAAGAAATAGAAGTCTATCCTCCAAAAGCTGGAGAGGTCCGCGTTAAGATCGTCGCAACTGGAGTTTGTCATACCGACGCTTATACCCTGTCTGGAAAAGACCCCGAAGGTGTATTTCCTGTCATCCTAGGACACGAAGGCGGCGGCATAGTTGAAAGTGTCGGGCCAGGCGTTACGACTGTGAAACCAGGTGATCATGTGATTCCTTTATATATCCCCCAATGCAAGACCTGCAAATTCTGTCTCAATCCTAAAACTAACCTATGCCAGAAAGTAAGAATTACTCAGGGACAAGGCGTTATGCCTGATAGCACTAAGCGATTCCGCTGTAAAGGCAAGGATCTTTACCACTTCATGGGGTGTTCGACATTCAGTGAATACACAGTTGTCCTGGAAATATCCCTTTGCAAAGTGGATATTGCTGCACCTTTGGACAAGGTCTGTCTGCTAGGTTGTGGTGTGCCAACAGGTTACGGTGCTGCTTTGAACACAGCTCGAGTGGAATCTGACAGTAACTGTGCTATTTTCGGGCTCGGAGCGGTCGGTCTTGCAGTTGCTTTGGGGTGCAAAGCAGCTGGCGCTAAGCGTATTATCGGAGTAGATCTTAACCCAGCTAAATTTGAAGTCGCCAAGAAGTTCGGTGTGAATGAGTTTGTTAACCCAAAAGATTATGATAAGCCCATACAACAGGTGCTTGTTGATTTGACTGATGGTGGATTGGATTACACCTTTGAGTGCATCGGTAACGTGAACACCATGCGTGCTGCGTTGGAGGCATGTCATAAGGGTTGGGGAACATCTGTAATAATTGGAGTGGCGGCTGCCGCAGAGGAGATAAGTACTCGCCCGTTCCAGTTGGTGACTGGTCGCACATGGAAAGGAACAGCTTTTGGCGGATATAAAAGTCGTGATAACGTGCCCAAACTCGTCGATGAGTACCTTAATAAGAGGTTGTTGTTGGATGAGTTTGTTACTCATAATGTTCAGTTGAAAGACATCAATGAAGCATTCCATTTGATGCATACCGGCCAGTCTATTCGTGCTATCATTCACTTATAACTTACAATGCGTTGCGTTGTTGCCATGCGTTTAAAGTGCATGTATGATAGTACTTTCTGTTTTGGTTTTGTATAAACAAGGCACTAGCCTTCTGTGTTGACCAGGCATGACGATACGACATTATACCTCGTTTTGGGTTGCGTATAATTAAATTTTGGCTATAATTTTGTTTCGAAAATTTATAATCGGTTTAGGATGCTAGGTTCTACTACTTTAAATGGTGTGATTTTATTATTTTACGAATTATTGTAAATTTTTTTAAGTCTCAATGCTGATGGAAATAAAAAAAATAAAATTATTTTGTTGTTAAACATTGTAATATACCTGCTCGTATAAAAATATTGATGTAAATAATGTACTAATAATGTTTAATGATGTAAATGTAAATTGTGTTTTTGTGTACAAATCACTTTACAATATCAATCAATTGTAAATGTTTTTAAAAATCCCTTGTACTTTGGGACCATGCGTTATGTATGATGATGAAGTATATCTTCGATACATCAATGATATGGTGTTTTTTTTACAATTTTACATAAAAAATATTTATAAATGAAAAAATATACAATTTATGAATCAATTTATTTAGAGTCGAAAAAGTAAAGCTTTAATTTGAAGACATAAGAGTATTTTTCCTTTATTGCTCCTCTTACTACTGCATGGTAGTACCTACTTAGGGAAAAAGTTATCTATCTGTGTTACTACTTCCTCAGCTTTTTCGCGTTTGTAAACCATAGTAATAGACTGCTGCAGACCGGTTAGCCGATCGATTGAATTGTTCCCCTTACATCGAGTCATAGGGGCTATTCTGCGATACCTAATCGTGCTGTTTGTGCTATCTTAATCCCTTTACGTCAAGTTTGGTTATATTACAGTCAAAATACAAAGTACTAAATAATGTTTAAAATGATTTTTATTTGGGATTGTATTTATAATTACCTCCGCTTGATAATCCGATAAAATTTGATATGTGACTATCACAATACAGACCAATTATAGATAACACAATATCAGATAAATAACTTGTTCAAAAGTAATGTGTAAACATTAATTTTTCCATTAGGTACCTACATGTATCTGCATACTTTCTAGTAAGCTAAATATAAGAATCACAGTTATATCACCAGTATTCATCAGTATTGGTATATTATGTAATTTCATATTCATAATATGATAATTACAACTTAGATAGATAATACGTTTAGGCAACTTAAAGCTAATAATATTGACCTCAGACTACTCATAGCCACGTCATCACATTGATTTCGTATTATAATAAATATGTTTCGTAACATAATTGCACGTGGTTAAACAAAAAAGATCCAATGCACATCCAGTCACTTTCGAGATATGGCACTTCAAAGTTTAAAAGTTTTTCTCACTCATGTTTTATTTTCAAAACCTATAAACATAGGGCGCACTCCGCGCACTATAAGTTTCCGGAACTGGCCACTTACATAAACAATTTTTTATTTATTTATTAAGGCTTTGGCAAAGCCATCAGCCTAAACATGAAGTTTAATTGTTTCTGTAAATATGGCCGCCACAAAGAGGATAGGCAATTTGAGGTGGCGTGCTTGGATTGACTCGGGATTCCTTAAAACGGGCCGATAAGGGTATTTTAGTTCGAGATTCGTATAATTTCGCGTTTTAATCTTCGATTAAGGCACAATAGCACTATCCTATTCCACTTTAAACTAGATTTCACAAAATAATTAAAAGTCAAAATAAATACGTCACTTTTCCCTCCAAAAGGTGCAGAGCGAATTTACATAAACAATATATAAAAAGTAATTACAACATTTGAAAATGGAACTCCTTGGCTGTAGAATAGTTTGTCTGACTCTTCTGATCAGAATCTGACTGTCACTTGTTTTTACATTGTGGCGTCATTTTAGAAAGTGGTTCTCTACATCACCATGGATTTAACTAGTGAAAATTTCCGTGGTATGATTTTCTATGACTTTAAGGGTCGTATTCCAGAACTGTACTCAATGCTCAAGTCAGGATTTGAGCAGACTTGAGTACGATTTCAAGCACTGAAAATACGACCCTAATGGCAAGGACTTGAGAATGATTTTCAGTGCTCACTGCAATACTCAAGTCCTGACTTGAGTATTGAGTAGAGTTCTGGAATACGACCCTAAGTGTAATTTAACAGCTCAGCGGAGCTTCCCTCGGCTTCAAAATGGTTTTGGCGATGAAGCACCATGCAAGACGACTATGTATAGCTGGTTTGCAGTTGTGTGAATCTCAGTGACGAATTTCGTGATGGTCGCCCGTCCACTGCTGTGAACAACAAAAACATCGATGCTGTGCGCCGTATGACCAAAACGGATAGGCATGTGACAAACCATGAGATTCGGGTATCTTTAAGCATAGGCTGAGACAAATTCAATCAATACAACAAAACATTTGGGTGTGAAAAAGCTGTGTTTTCGGTGGATCCCACATAATTTGACTGAGGCTCAAAAAACGGATCGCGTCACTTGGTGCAATGCCATGCTTACCAGATTCATCGAAGGGTGTCAAATTTGGTGTGGGATACAGTAACAAGTGACGATACATGGATTTATAGTTACGATCCCAAAACAAAGCAGCGAGCGAGCGTGTGGGTCTTTCAAGATGAGCCGAAATCAACCAAAGTGGCGCGCGTGCAAAGTGCCTCTAAGCGGATGATTGCTTCTTTTTTTAATAAAACTGGACTCTTAGTTACTGTTGCTTTGGAGAATCGTTGTACCGTGAATAGTGATTGGTTCACGACCATTTGTTCGTCGGAAATTATTGACAAACTCTGTAAAAATAACCGTAAACGCCGTATAATCTTGCACCACGATAATGTCAGATCTCACGGGGCCAGACAGACAAATGAATTTATGAAGGTGAACAACGTTGACCTTATGAGCCATCCCGCGTACAATCCCGACCTGGCACCTTGTGAGTTTTATTTATTTTCAAAAATTAAGAACCAGTTACGCGGTCAACGATTTTCATCACCTGAAGAGGCTGTCGAAGAGTATGAAAAATATGTTCCAGAGATTGTCACGGAGGAGTGGCATAAATGTTTTCAAAATTGGTTCATTCGTATGAAAAAGTGCATTAACGCTAACGTAGAACATTTTGATAAACAATAAATTCATTTCTGACCATTTATAGTATTTTTTTCTTATTCATTCCGGAAACTTATAGTGCGTCCCACGTATTTCAACTGATTTTTTTTCTAATCTAAGAGGTTAGACTTTAGAAAGACCGTTTGGTACATAATATAACTCATTTTTTGCTAATTTTGTGGATTGGATCCTTTTTGCTTAACTACGTCCAATTAAAATGACTTCAATTGCTTTTCAATGTTGTTCCCACAGATGTACTCATAGTATTTGACGTAGAGGAAGTAAAAGTGACAATGGCTAACGATTCAACGTAACGAGACTCGATATAAGGGTATTAATTCTATTTCGTGGCTGTTTTTATTTATTCAAGCAGTAAAATAAAAAATCTG